CATTCTCTCTGCACTTCCTGACTCCTTCAGGTGACTTATTTCTTCCTCTTTGCCCTTAATGGATGTGGAAGGAAATGACGTATTTCAGAGTCATTGATGTGCTTCAGACTAGGGTCGACTACTCTTCGGTAACGACTCGGTGGAGGGTCAGAATAAAGCCTGGGGCACTGACCTCATACTTCTACCCCCCATCCTGGGGGAACAAAGAGGTGCTCAAGTACAAGATGATTCTGTGGGCTGAAATTCTCTGTGCAGAGAGATTTCTAGGGTTAGTCAGTAGCATTTCATTCAGGTGGCTGAAGAGCGTGGGATTCAGGCAGGGTTGCTTTGCTTCATTCAAAACTTGGTTCTGACATTTTTTTTTCTTATTAGCTGTGAACGTGGGCACGTGACTTTGACCTTCCTCAGCCTCAGTTTCTTCATCTTGCAAATACGGAGAAGAAGGTCTACCACGTCGGGGTTTTAGGAGACATGCTGTATGAGAACAGTCTAAGCACACCACGTGTCAGGCGGGGCGGGCTTGGTAGACGTTGACTGTCAAAGGGCCGTGTGCATGGACTGGGTCCATCAGCAAGTCATTGGCAGTGATTCGTGTCCGCGGGAGCTGCCGAGAGAAAAGGAGCCATCACAACGGCAGATCACACACTACAGCTGTGGGCATCGTCCACGGGAGCAGAGAGAAGGGAGCAGCAGTTCACCCTAAGGTCAGGGCAGGCCTCCCAGAGGGAGAGGAAAATTGACATGTCCCTGGAGAAGAGAGGCAGGCGAGAGGGGCATTCACTCCGCAGAGACACCGTGCGGGTACGTTTGTGGGTGGGCTTGTTCTTTTGTTCAGCGAGTCCGTGTGTGTTGATTGAGTTGGGTTCCCCCAAGTGGCAGGCTCTGTGTTGGATTCAGGGGACACAGTGGTGAGCAAAATGTATACTGTCCCTGCCTTACGGAGCTTCTACTCCACCAGCAAGACAGGCAGTGACATAACCCTGTCATCAGAGGGCTGTGAGGGCGAAGACGTCATCAGATGTAGAACCTGAGACTCCGACTAGATGGGAAGGGGGAGGGGGTTGTCCTTTAGGGCTCTGCAGGTAACTGAGACTTAAACTAAGACCCGGAGGGTGGGTGGGGAAGGAGAGAGTGGGCAAGACTCTGTGCTACGAGAATCCTGGTCCCTTCTGGGAACTAAGTAAAGGCCAGTGTGGCTGGGACTTAGAACACATGGCGAAGGGACCGGGGGGGAGGCTGCTGAGGAAGCTCTGGGGAAGGTCCCAGAGGGTCCTGATGGTCATTCTAAGGATATGGGCTTTTGTCCCAAGTGCCAGGGGAAGTCGCTGAAGTGTCTTATGCATAGAAATGCTCGAATCAGACTTGTGTTTGGGAAAGACCATGTAGATGCTGTGTTCGCAGTGGATCAGTGGTGTAGATGTTGTGTTCGCAGAGGATCAGTGGTGTAGGTGTTGTGTTTGCAGTGGATCAGTGGTGTAGATGTTGTGTTCGCAGAGGATCAGTGGTGTAGATGCTGTGTTCGCAGAGGATCAGTGGTGTAGCTGTTGTGTTCGCAGAGGATCAGTGGTGTAGGTGTTGTGTTCGCAGTGGATCAGTGGTGCAGATGTTGTGTTCGCAGAGGATCAGTGGTGTAGATGTTGTGTTCGCAGAGGATCAGTGGTGTAGATGCTGTGTTCGCAGAGGATCAGTGGTGTAGCTGTAGTGTTCGCAGAGGATCAGTGGTGCAGATGTTGTGTTCGCAGAGGATCAGTGGTGCAGATGTTGTGTTCGCAGAGGATCAGTGGTGTAGCTGTAGTGTTCGCAGAGGATCAGTGGTGCAGATGTTGTGTTCGCAGAGGATCAGTGGTGCAGATGTTGTGTTCGCAGAGGATCAGTGGTGCAGATGTTGTGTTCGCAGAGGATCAGTGGTGCAGATGTTGTGTTCGCAGAGGATCAGTGGTGCAGATGTTGTGTTCGCAGAGGATCAGTGGTGTAGATGTTGTGTTCGCAGAGGATCAGTGGTGTAGCTGTTGTGTTCGCAGAGGATCAGTGGTGTAGGTGTTGTGTTCGCAGTGGATCAGTGGTGTAGGTGTTGTGTTCGCAGAGGATCAGTGGTGTAGCTGTTGTGTTCGCAGAGGATCAGTGGTGTAGGTGTTGTGTTCGCAGAGGATCAGTGGTGCAGGTGTTGTGTTCGCAGAGGATCAGTGGTGCAGATGTTGTGTTCGCAGAGGATCAGTGGTGCAGATGTTGTGTTCGCAGAGGATCAGTGGTGCAGATGTTGTGTTCGCAGAGGTCAGTGTGCAGATGTTGTGTTCGCAGAGATCAGTGGTGCAGATGTTGTGTTCGCAGAGGATCAGTGGTTGCAGAGTGTTGTGTTCGCAGAGGATCAGTGGTGCAGATGTTGTGTTCGCAGAGGATCAGTGGTGCAGATGTTGTGTTCGCAGAGGATCAGTGGTGCAGATGTTGTGTTCGCAGTGGATCAGTGGTGTAGATGTTGTGTTCGCAGAGGATCAGTGGTGCAGGTGTTGTGTTCGCAGAGGATCAGTGGTGCAGATGTTGTGTTCGCAGAGGATCAGTGGTGCAGATGTTGTGTTCGCAGAGGATCAGTGGTGCAGCTGTTGTGTTCGCAGAGGATCAGTGGTGCAGCTGTTGTGTTCGCAGAGGATCAGTGGTGCAGATGTTGTGTTCGCAGTGGATCAGTGGTGCAGATGTTGTGTTCGCAGTGGATCAGTGGTGCAGATGTTGTGTTCGCAGAGGATCAGTGGTGCAGATGTTGTGTTCGCAGAGGATCAGTGGTGCAGATGTTGTGTTCGCAGTGGATCAGTGGTGCAGATGTTGTGTTCGCAGAGGATCAGTGGTGCAGATGTTGTGTTCGCAGAGGTTCAGTGGTGCAGATGTTGTGTTCGCAGAGGTTCAGTGGTGCAGATGTTGTGTTCGCAGAGGATCAGTGGTGCAGATGTTGTGTTCGCAGAGGATCAGTGGTGCAGATGTTGTGTTCGCAGAGGATCAGTGGTGCAGATGTTGTGTTCGCAGTGGATCAGTGGTGTAGATGTTGTGTTCGCAGAGGATCAGTGGTGTAGATGTTGTGTTCGCAGAGGATCAGTGGGGTTTAGGTGGGACTGGGGAGACGAATAAGTAGTCGTGAAGGGTGATGGTGGCCTGTGCTGGGGCAGCCGCACCAGAATAAATCAAATACAAGTGGTTTCGGGGGTGAACTCTAAGGGACGTGGGGTAGTTGAGGAATAGAACAGGTGGTGTTGAGCCACTAAAGAGGCTGGTTTGGTGAGCTTTGGGGGACACCGGTGTCTCAGTCTGTTGGGGCTGCTGTAACAGAATGCCGCACACTGGGGAGCTGAGCAACAGCAGAAGTTTACTTCTCCCAGGTCTGGAGCTGGCAAGTCCAAGGTCAGGGCACTGCCAGCTTCAGTATCAGGTGACAACTCACTTTCTGGTTCATAGATGGCATCTCGGTGCTGTGACCTCACATGGCAGAAGGGACAAGGGGGCTCTCTGGGGTCTTCTGGGTAAGGGCACTAACCCCATTCATGATGGCCCCACCCTCACACCGAGGGAGGTCCTTCTCAAAGGCCCCGCCTCTTAGCTCCATTGCCTTGGCCAGGAGGGGAGGGGAGGACCCGTGAGCCACTCACGGGGAGGCACAAACATTCAGTCGGTAGCAACAGTAGCAACTTTCCTGCTATTTCATGCTCAGAAATCTACATTCATACTGTCAAGAGGGCCCGTGGAGGTAAAGAAGCAGAGGAATGAAATAGTCGGGTGAGTGTGCTCACTGGGGGGTTTGTTTCTCTCCTCACCTACTCCTGAGCCAGGCGCTTACTGAATTCAGTCATCGATGGGAGACACGGTGCGCACGCCCCAGGCAGAGATGGACGGCAGGCACGTTCTGTTGTCTGACACAAAGGGAGGTTAATTGTTCATCTTGTAAATACTGCTCCCTGACGCTGCCTGCCTGCCCTGCTCTCTGCAGGACCCACGTCTCCAGCCCCTCCTGCAGCAGGGCGCAGGGCGTGACCGAAGGATGGACAGGAGGGACGGACGGTCATTTTGGGAACACAATAGCAATGTCTGGTGTGGGAGGGGAGGGGTGTATAGAAGTGTTCAAGGGACCCAGGCATCGGGGAGAGAGGAAGGGGAGCGAGTCTGCTGGGGAAGCCAGGGGATCCTCACCCAGCTGCCTGGGCGCCCAGCGGCCAGGAGGTCAGGGAGGGGAAAACATCTCACACACCAGCTCTGGGCTGGGACACAGGGCTTGCACCCGGAGTGGACGGCGTATTTGAGAGTCCCCACGCCCCGTGCCTGACTGGAGGGGAGCGAGACAATTTATGATGGACCGGACCAGCTCTCGCTCCCCTTCCTCTGGGTCCGGGCCGTCAAGGTGCTTCCCCTGGGAGACGGGGAGGCTGTCTCATGATGGACAGGGCATGAGGACTGCTGAGCCGGAGGAGTCTTTGGCGGTTAAAAAAAAAAGACTAAAATAAGCTTTCTATGCCTCTGGAGAAATGCCTCAGAAAGTTTAAAAAACAAAGGTGAGCCCTGGCCGGTGTGGCCAAGTGGTTAGAGCATTGGCTCGCTCACCAAAGGGCCACAGGTTCGATTCCCGGTCAAGGGCACGTATCTGCGTTGTAGATTCGGTTCCCAGCCGTGGTCGGGGTGCGTGGGAGAGGCAACCAATCACTGTGTCTCTCTCACATCCATGTTTCTCCCTCCCTCTCTCCCTCCCTTCCATTCTCTCTAAAAATCAATGGAAAAAATATCCTCGGGTGAGGCATAACAACAACCACAAAAAGAATAAATAAATAACAACAACAAAAGAAGAAGGTGATGCGTTCACCTGCCTTGCTGGGTATTGAGGGCAACACTGAAGTAAGCCGTCTGTGTGAACGGATAGACTCTGTCGATTCTGTGTTCGTCCTGCTCCCCAGGTCGGCCCTGGGTTTGAGGGTGTCGATGGGAAGCATCCCTCGGGCCTGGGATCAATCTTGTGATTGTCCGCCTTTCAGGTCACAGAACTCAACAATGTGAAGAACGTGTCCCGGTTGCCGAAGAGCACGAAGAAACACGCCATCGGGATTTACTTCAACGACGACACCTCGAAGACCTTCGCTTGTGAATCAGGTTCGTGGGAGGAGGGAGGCTCTGGCTTCCGGCTGCTCGGCAGGCGCTGGGCTTACAGGTTCTCCTCTGGGCCGTGTCCGCAGATCTCGAGGCTGACGAATGGTGCAAAGTGCTCCAGACGGAGTGCGTGGGGACTCGGATCAGCGACATCAGCCTCGGGGAGCCCGACTTACTGGCCACTGGGGTTGAGAGAGAACAGAGTGGTACGTACGCAAAATTCTCTCCTTTGATCTTTCGAAACACTCTTCTGTTTCCGTATAATAAAACATAAGGTTTCCTCATCATGTAAAATTTTTGAAGTTATGAAACAATGTATATAGAAGCAAAAGTAACCTTCGATTTCACCTAAAACTTGTGTTCATAGTTCAATGTATTTCTTTTCTTAGTATGTTCTTGATGCATAATATGAATGTATCAACATTAGTAACATCAGCTAGAGACTGGGAGGAGCCTGTTCTGTGCCGTTTCTGTGGAAGATGCATTCGCTTATTTGATTTCCCAGCAGCCCTATGACATAGGTAGTGTTAGTTTCCCATTTTACAGATGAGGAAACCGAGGCTTAGAAGAGTTTGCTCCAATTCCAGTAACTAGTGTTTGATTCCATACTATACTTTTGGGTCTGTATTCAGAATGTACAGATAAAACATGACATGGGTTTGTGTCTTGACTTTCTCAGTTAAAATTCTTATTGAAAGCCTTCCTGTGTTTTTTAATAGAATCCAAACTCGATGAATATTTCATCAAGTTTAAACCCACCTAAATATGTGATTTTGTTTTCCTTTGTTCTGAAACACTTGAGCCAACTCTTTGAGCTCAACATGCAACCTGGGAATAAATCATGTCAAGTAATAATGACCAAAATATTCATGAACACTTCAGCAAGGAATCAGTGTTGGTGTATAGTATGAGCCTAGAGGTGAGAATCATTTCTTTGTCTCCAAATAGACTTGTGACAGGACAAATTGGATTCCAGAGGTTTTTGTTTTGTTTTGTTTTGAATCCTCAGCAGGGACATGCTGAGAGAGAGAGAGAGAGAAACATTGATGTGAGAGAGAAATGTCGATCAGCTACTTGCCATATGTGCCCCAACGGGGGATCTGACTTGCAATCTGGGTATATGCCCTGGCCAGGAATTGAACCAGCAACCTTTCCGTGCACAGGATTATGCTCAACCAACTGAGCCACTCCAGCCGGGCTGGATCCCAGCGTTCTGCTGTGGCCTGTTGCATTGATCTATGAGGCCATAGGGCTGTATCACAACCAAGATGCTGTGTGTCTCCTGACTTAACTGGGACCGCGGCAGAGGCAGAATTGGACTGACCCTTCGCGTGGGGCGCACACTCCAGCTGGTGGTATAAAACGTCCTCTCTTCCCCTTGGAACTGTGTCTTCATGTCACAGTCGAGGACTATTTTGCGTGCACCGTGTCTGCCATAATCCACCTCCACGGAAGCGTTATGGACGGACCCCTGGAAGTGCTGGCTAATTCGAAGGAGCCTCCTGTAGACGAGGAAGTTGAGCTGCAGTGAGGTGGTCCGGTGCCAGGGTCAGGCAGCTAAGCGCCAGGCTCCTCTGGGTCACTCAGCCAGGATGCTCCCGGGCTGCGAGGACCCACCTGTCGTGCCTCACAAGCAGGTGCTCTTGAAGCCAAACAGAGAGAGGAAGTCATCACCCGATTTGCTTTCTTTAAATTTGGAGTGCTCTGATCAGCACTTATTTTTCACACATTTATATTGGTGAAGCTGCATCCTGATGGGCCTTTGCACTGAATCCAGGCACTGGCTGTGCCTAGGAGTGACCTCTCCTGGACCAGCTTTCTGTGCCTCAGTTTCCTCTTCTGTCAAGTAGGAATAAGAATAGCCCTGGTAGATAAGGACGAGGGATTATTCTGAAACTCAACTGTGTCTTTTAAGGCACCTTACAATATTAGTTTGCATGACTTCCAGGTAATAGAAATGGTCACTCTCACCACGATTGCTGTTGTCATTCTCAAGCAAGGTAGTTATAAAATCACTTTCTCTTCTTTTTTTAATCCTCCACCCGAGGATATGTTTTTATTGATTTTAGAGAGAGAGAGGAAGGGTGAGGGAGAGAGAGAGAAACATCAATATGAGAGACCAGCCCTGGCCAGTTTGGCTCAGCAGTTGGAGCGTCGGCCTGCGGACCAGAGTCCTGGGTTCGGTTCCCACTAGGGGCACGTACCAAAAAAAAAAAAAAAAATTATGAGAGAGCAACATCGATCAGTTGCCTTCTGTACACACCCCAACCAGGAATCAAACCTGCAACCTTTGGTGTATGGGATGATGCTCCAACCAACGGAGCCACCCAGCCAGGGTATAAAAGAACTTTTGAGCAAATGAGCTGGTAATGATCTCTCTCACTTTCTAATTAATGATGACAGTCTATCTTACTCGTTCCAGCCAATATTTGGCTAGAGGGACTGTGAAATACTTAGAAAAGTTGAGTGAGAAATACATGAATGCATTTCACAAACACAATCTTGACACTCCTACTTAGTGAATTCAACTGAAATCTGTGAAAATTCCAATGACATCTTTACTGTAAAATAATGACTCTAGGATGACATTAATATCATTAGCGGCACTCTATTTTGTCAGATGTACGCAGTCTGCTACAGTGACGGGTAGGAGAAAATGTGTTTGCTGTAGTCGTGATGGTTTTGTTCATATTTCACCTTAAAGTATTTTGACTCTGTAACGTCTTAAATATGAGTTTTCTAAAGATATAATACAAATGTCATGATTGTGTCCATAGGGAATAAAATGCAGTTGCAGCAGTAAGCCAAGAACTGTATTTGCAGTAATCTTGGTTAAATTTTAACAGTCATCTTAACAAGCAACTGAATATTTCTTTCCAGTATTTAGCTGAAGACAGCTCATTGTTAACACTAGTTCAAATATATCAGTTGGCATTTTTCCGAATTGCTGGTTTGTCAAGTGCATGGTATGAGCGCCGAGTTTTATTTAAACAATTTGGGTTACAGTTTTATTCAGCTAGTTATGAAAATTGTAAGTTGATCGATATAACTTGAGCATCATTACAACATGTGATAATTATTTCACACCTGCCTCTTTTGTGAATGCAAAAGTGTGGGTGTAATTAATATGTAGTTGGCAGGAAAAAAATGTTTTTAAGGGCTTCATTGCCTTAGTCTTTTATTGGCATACACATTTTTTTATTATGCAAATTAAAAAAATTCTAAAAGTGGTCTTTGCTCATTGAAATAGGGTTTAGTGTATGTTGTCAGCCCGACTGTACCATTATTACGTGGTTTAAAATGGTCTTGCTTTTAAAAACCGTTTTCTGGGGCTGTTAGCTTATGAGAAAGGTTTTGTCTTCCTGAGTATTGAGTCAAGAGCTAGACGATGCACTTGAATTACTTTGAAATGCCTCTTTGTTCCTACAGTGTCTTTGATGTCTTGTTCCTGGGGATTTTAGACTAACCTTCTGTTTTTCTCCCAGAGAGATTCAATGTGTATTTGACGCCGTCCCCTAACGTAGATGTACATGGCGAATGTGCCTTGCAGATTACGTATGAGCACATCTGTCTCTGGGACGTCCAGAATCCCAGAGTCAAACTCATCTCCTGGCCGCTAAGCGCCCTGCGGCGGTACGGACGCGATGCTGCCTGGTTCACGTTCGAGGCGGGGAGGTGAGTCCAGGGCGTGCTGCCCTGTGTCCCCAGGTGCCCGTCCTCGGAGGCCCGCCCTGCACCACACTTTGGGAAATGCGCCACGCGACCTGTGCCCATCCAGTGTTAGGGGCGTCTTGTAAAACACTCAAATGTTAAACATGCCTTTCTTTTTCATGGATGATTCTTTTTTTTTTTTTTTAAATGTCTCATCTGACGGTATATTTTTCTACTTGTTATCAGGTAGAGTGGGAGGGAGAGAGAGACAGAAAGAAACATCGATGTGATAGAGCCACATCCTCTGGTTGCCTCCCGCACGGCCCGACCAGGGCCGGGCAACTGAGGTACGTGCCCTTGACCGGAATCGAACCCGCGACTCATTGGTCTGTGAGCTGACGCTCTAACCACTGAGCCAAACCGGCCAGGGCTCCATGGACGGTTCTGATGTTTCACTAACAGGATGTGAATTTTCGTTGCGCGGTTGGATTTCAGACCACACGCTGAGGCTGAGCTGGGTAAGCGTGTCGTTGACTAGGTCACACTGCACAGAAGCTAGCTTCTTGGTCTTTGGAAAACTTCCCTGTTGTTATTCTATGTACGTTTCCCACCGGCGCTGGCTGGGGTCCGTTCCCCGTGTGAGGGGCACCGATACTTTCTGGAGTTGCCGCTGGTCGCGTTCTACCTGGTTTTCTCACGGCGCAGTGAAGGCCACTGATGCCCGAGGAGGTTGATTTGCTCCTTGCCGAAGCCGGCGGGCACTTTTCCGACCGTCGCTTTTTCCGTTCGGAAGTTCATCTGGGAGAGTGAAAGTGGTACCCTGGTGTTCACGTTGATCATCAGCTACAAAGAGATCAGTCCAATCAGCATTCCATTTCCTTCTCCCCCACCCTCCTTCCTCAAACTCAGGCTCTGTTTTTGAAACGCTGCATATCAGTTTTATATTTCAGAAATTTAAATGAATGCATTTTAAGAAGTACAAGTCCTTCTGGATATGGCCCGACATTGCATTCAAGTTGAAAACCATCACCCTGGCCGGTTTGGCTCTGCTGTTGGAGCATCGGCCTGCGGACCAGAGAGTCCCAGGTTCGGTTCCTGCTAGGGGCACATACCAAAAAAAACAAAAAACAAAAAACACCTATCATGTGTGGGCAGAATGGACAGGTGTGGTCCTTGAGATAAGGAGAGTAAACATAGATGTTCTATTTTTTTTTTTCTTTATTGATTTTAGAGAGAGAGGAAGGGAGAGGGAGAGAGAAATAGAAGCATGGATGAGAGAGAACATCGATTGGCCGCCTCCTGCATGCCCCCCACTGGGGATCGGGCCCACAACCTGGGCATGTGCCCTGACCGGGAATCGAACCGGCGACCTCTTGGTGCAGGGTCGATGCTCTACCACTGAGCCACACTGGCCGGCAACACAGAAGTTCTAAACACCCGAGAGGTGAACCCTGAGTAGAGGACAGGGGAACCCCACTTCCATGAGTCTGTTAATTCCATTCTGAACAGAGCCCAGTGATTGAAAACTTGCTTTTCAGAAAGATGATCAAGCTGATGGTCTTACAACCATTCTAGAAAGTTTTAAAATTCTTCTTTCCCGTACAGCTCTTCTCTGGCTCATTTATTTCCAAGTGCTGAAAGCGAATTTCACGTAGAGTATAATTTCACGTGCACTATTGAAATGCTACCACTGAACCCGTGACTGGTGGAGGCGGCAGAGGTCCGCATGTCAGATGAGAAAACTTGAATCTGCAGAGCAGTGTTTTTTTGTTTTGTTTTGTTTTTTGTCAGGATTGCTTATTTTTATTATCCTTATGGGGAAATCTCTATAAAGAAAATTAAGAATTTGTTTGGGAAGGTGAGCATATTTTCTTGTTTGGGTCTTAAATATTATTTATGTATTAATTGTAACCGGCAAAATGAAGGTATAAAAATGTTGTATAATAGACTTTGCTGTGGACCATAAAGCCATATCAGCCCACTGTGACTTCATACTGGTGCATAAGAGAACTCGGTGTTTCTCGGGATGCTTGGACCATCAGACGTGACTATTTCTCAGCGATTCTTTGATTCATGTATATACAAAATGGAATAGGAAAGGCATATGGCTTTTAAAAAAAAATTCTCACTCGAGGATATTTTTCCATTTATCTTCAGGTAGAATAGGAGGGAGGGAGGGAGGGAGGTAGAGAAAGAGAGGGAGAGAAACATCGATGTGAGAGGGACACATTGACTGGTTTCCTCCCGCAAGACCCCGACCAGGGCCGGGTACCAAACCACAACCGAGGTAAGTGACCTTGACTGGAATCGAACCTGTGACTCTTTGGTCCATGGGCCAATGTTCTAACCATTGAGCAAAACCAGCCAGAGCAGCATATGGCTTTTTAATTACAATTTCTGAAGGCTAAAACCTCAGGAAACTTTCATAGTATCTCATGACTATTGGAACCTGTTTTTTTGAAATTATCTTAATAGTCTATGTTTTGCTACCACTCATATCTTCCTCTAGATTCATGTGTTTGTATTGAAATCTGGTTGAACTTCTAAGGATCTAAGATGGTTTTAAAGACTTTTATATTTCTCCTAAGTCATGTAGGAAATCATAGGGGTTTTTAAGGGGTATAATTGTGTGTGTGTGTGTGTATGTGTGTGTGTGTGTGTGTGATCATGTTCCTCGTTTGTAAACAACAGTATACAGGACACGGATATAGAGGTGGAGAGATACGTGTGGGTGTTTGAAGAACATACATTTCAGAATTATCCATTGATCTTTAACCAAAAACTATGAAGTGCTGTCTTGGAAAATGAGAGTTTCACTCCGTGACCTCGGTCTCCTCATGGCCTGACCTTTTGAGTGTTTCATCCGAGAACGCCCGCACTTAGGTGACTCTACTACCCACAACCCGCCCCACACAGTCCCGTGTCTCCCGCACTGCAGGGGCTCGGAAGGTGGTTTGGGTGTGAACAGCGTTCTCGTTCCGCGTCATGCCTCGCGGGGTCGGGGCCAGCTCGGGACGGGCTGATCCGAAGGCCGAGCACTGGGGTTGTGTCCTTAGGCTCCTACGCATTTCCCAGCCAGCTGGGTGTCGTTTAGGGGTGCGGCTTCAGGTGCCCATCTCTGTTCTTCATTAGCTCTTGCCTTTGGACAGAGTGTTTAACTTCCCTTGTAAGTTCATCCGAGGGATAACTTCCTTGCAGGGTAAAACGGAGATGCATGCAGAGGACCTAGGCGGGTGCTGGGCTTCTCCTAAACAGTATCTTTGATATTTCACTATGATTCCTTTTGGAGCAGGACCTGGCTTTGCAGGATGCAGGCTGGGTTACGCACAAGGTGATATTACGAGTTTATATTTTGCCTGAAACTCCAATGAAGATGAATTTTTATAGTTACCATCAAGATGCTCAGGATAATAAGATCATTCATGCTCCCCCAAGCGTGAAGGTTTCATATCTGCCTTGCTTTATTAGTGGAGATAATTTTTGCCTTGGCTATTTTTGGCTGTGTTCACAACAAGGCAGTTTCCTGGTAAGTAATAGAATTTCCTCTCTCTCTCACACGGATAAATGAATAGGCGTTAAGTCTCCCTAGGGCTCAGTGGTTCTCCACCTTCCTGATGCCGCGACCCTTTAACACAGCTCCTCGTGTTGTGGTGACCCCCAACCATCAAGTTATTTTTGCTGCTACTTCATAACTGTAATTTTGCTACTGATACGAATAGCCATTGAAAATAGGTGTTTTCCGATGGTCTTAGGCGACTACTGTGAGAGGTTGAGAACCGCTGCTCTAGGTGGATTGTTCTCACGTAGTCAACATGCTTCTGTGGAGATTGGACAGGATTTCTGTTGGGAACACAGAGGTCCTGTCAGGGACCGTGGGCAATGTTCTGCTCACCTCCAGCCCCGTTGTGGACGGAACCGAGTGTCATTCCCGGGTGGTGGCCCCATTCCACCCCACCAAGACCCACCGTGGGCACGTGTGATGAACTAGGACTTGCATAAAACTGAATGAAGCTGTCGGTCAGCCACACGTGGGCTGTGGGGCCTCGGGTGACTCAGCGACTCCCCGAGCTTCCGCTGGCCACCTGTAACAGGTATCAATCCACACGCATCTCGCAAGGTCGCCGTTGGGGGAGCGACGGTACCTGCACGAGCATGTGGCTCGATGCTGGCGCGGGGTGGACGTTTGTATCGACCCGACTGACGTGCGCAGGGAAGAAGTTCATGGGCGTCCATGGCCCCAAGCCCGGGGAGGAGGGAGGGCCTCAGGCTTGGTTCGTTCAGGGTCGTCGTTGACCCTAGGTGTCCTCTCTTGGTCCTGTGTCTTCTAGGACGGCTGCGCTCCTGCTCCAGCTGGAGGCTCCTAGGAGCTTTGGGACGTCCTCACGCCATCAGCCAATTCCTGCTGCGTGCTGACCGCGGCATCTGCACCCCGTGCTGAGCACCTTCTGCAAAGCCCGCGGGTTAGGAATTGAATGCGGATGGTTCTTCCAAAGCAGGAAGGGGGTACTGATGCCATCAGAAGGGGAATGACTGTGAGGTTTAAAAAAAAACAAAATATGCCCAATACAGCGCTGAGGAATGGCTCAGCGCCAGTGGGGTGAAGTGACCGACTGATCAGCAGGATCACTCAGAGCGGTGCTGAGACACAGAGCATTGGTTCTCGAGCAGGGGCATGTGGCTGAGACATGTTTGCTTGTCACAGCTCTGTCAGGGGGCACGCCTGCCTCTCGTGGGTCGAGGGGCAAAGATGCTGCTAACCCTACTCTCACCAACAGCCCTTCACATCGAAGAATCATCAGGTCCAGTATTCGATTGAGGAACTTCACTCTTGCAGGCGTTCCCACCGTTGAAAACAATCACGCACATTTACTGAGTCCTTACTAGATGAAAGTCACTGTGTTTACGTGACTGTCTCATTGAAGCCACTCAGTGATCACATAAACTAGGGACTATTATTTTTTAAAAATTTTTATTGATTGATTTAGAGAGAGAGGATTTAGAAAGAGAAATATTTGTTCTACTTA